TACCCATCTGCTGAACAGTTAATTAGTTAGACATAGTTGCCAATCTAGGCCATAATACATACCAAGATGCAGAGAGTACTTCTAAAGCAGGGGCGGGCAATTATTTTGGGCAGAGGGCCTCTTACCCAGTTTTGGCAGGCTGTCGAGGACCGCATGGGTAGCCCCGCCCTTTGACAGGTGCCCCGTCCCCTGGTCACCATCTTGGGACAAATGTCCCAGGGCCAGCACTGATGAGGCCCAAAGCAGGTGCAGGCTGGCAGGGGTCTGTGGAGCCGGGCTGGGCTGCACCAGCAGGGAGAGGGGGGAGCTGGCTTGGCTCCATAGAGCCCCTTCTGGCTGGGACCCCGTGCTCCTGCCACCCTGCTCTGGGCCCCACTGGCACTGGCCCTGGGACGCCGGTGCAGGCCCTGTGCTCCCGCTGGCTCCCTGCCCACTCACTCCCAGTGCCCTCCAACCCCATGGTACAGGTGGGGGGCAGCGCAGCCCTGACCCCCTGCTCACTGACAAGGAAGAAGCTGGTGCTGAGTGTGGGGAAAAGCAGCCCCTCACCTGACCCGTGGCCCATGATCCCTGCTGCAGCCGCTCGCAGCCCACCCAGGGCTCTCTGGAGCCGGCACCCCGGCGGGGCTGCAAGCGGCTACAGTGCGAGGCGCCGGCCACGGGGTGGGCAAGGGGCCACTTTTCCCCATGCTCAGCAACACCTTGTAACCCGCCCCGCTGCTAGCCTAGGCCCCGCTCACTCCTGGCTCGCCCATCAGGGTTGTGCACAGTGGCAGCAGCTGTGGCCTCCCCACTGCCACTTGCCGTGCTGGTAAGTGTTGGTAAGTGTTGGCTGCTGCTGCCCACCCGGAGCTTGTGTGCTGGGCAGCCCACAGGCAGCAGCAACAAATGCTGCCTGGCACAGCAAGCAGGGGGGCCACAGCTACTGTTGCCATGCACAGCCCCAACGGGTGAGTCCGGAGCCAGCGCAGGGCCCAGGCTGGCAGTGGGAGCGGGTTACAAGGTGGTGCTGAGCATGGGGAAAAGCGGCCCCTCCCTGCCCTGTGCCTGGTGCCCTGCACTGCAGCTGCTCTGGACAGCCCCGTGTGGGCTGCGAGCAGCTGCAGCAGGGAGCACTGGCCATGGGGCAGGGGAGGGGTCGCTTTTCTCTGCGCTGGGAAGGAGCCTGGGGAAAAACTGAGTGCAGGGGGGAGAAAAGTAGCCCTTCCCTCGCCCCATGGCTGGCGCTTCCTGCTGCAGCCGCTCACAGCCTGAGCAGGGCTGTCCGGAACAGGCATAGGCAGCCCTAGGCGGGCTGTGAGCAGCTGCAGCACGAGGCACCAGGCACTGGATGGGTGAGGGGCCACTTTCTCCCCACCCCCACTCAGCTTTTCCCCGGGCCACTTTTCCCTGGGCTCCTCCCCTGCCCTTCCCACCCTCCATCTGAGTTTCTGGCATGGGGCAGCCATGTGGTCCCAAGCCAGAAGCCCCTGTTGGGGGCTTCTGGCTCGGGGGATGGGGCCTGCTGTTGTGGGAGCCCACTGGGCTTCCCCTGGGTCCTACAGCCCTTGGTTCCTGTCATTTTTTTCAGGAACCAAGGGCAGATAAATATTTTCTAAATTTTTTAGGGGCCCCACAGGCTGGATAGAATGGCCTCACAGGCCATATTTTGCCCACCCCTGTTCTAAAGGGAAAAAGGTCTATATCTCTATGCCTATTCAATGCTTGATTACTCAAACTGAAAGTTATGGTAGTAGATCTAAATCAAGGACACCTGTACATTAGTAACTGGATTAAAACCTCTAGGTTATTTTTACATACAAAGCTAGCTATTCAACAGCAACAGCATTAAAACTGCTAACCTGGGTTAAAAATTGACCTAGGTAACTTAAAGCAATATGTTAACTATTAGGGCTGTGCGAAGCTTCGGTCATTGATTAGATTTGGTGGCTGAATCTCCAAATCGAATCAGGAGACCCATTAATCTCTCCAAATTGAATCGGAAGCCTCCAATTCAATTCGGTAAGATTCAATGATTCAACCATAGACACAGCTTTATATTTTTTTCTGCATACCTTGAGGTACCAGGCACGGCTTGTGAATGCTGAGATAGTGGGGCAGATGGAGTGTCCCACAGAAGCGCAGGGGGGCCCCCCCACGTGCTCAGTGTGGACCCGGAAGTAGACTGGGAAGTACTTCCAGTCCACTTTTGGGCCTGCCCCAGCACCCCCCTGGCTTAGTGATTGGCTGTGGGGAGACCCCAGGTGCCCTCCAACCTAGGAGGCATCAGTTGCCAAGCAGAAAAAACATATAAAGCTGCGTGTATGGCCGAATCACTGATTCTCCATATGAGAATCAAATCTTCAGATTCGGCCAAATCGAATCAGGACAGTGATCCAAATCAGCAAGTCAAATCACTGTCCCGAATCAGACCGAATCCGAATCGACTACTGCCTGCTTCACACACCCCTATTAACTATTACTGATGGCATTAATCAGGCAAATCCCCCATTGCTAAGAAGTGACTGAAATTTTGGTAAGTAAAACACTGTGCATACCTGAAATAAATTATACATGGGGCCTAAATTCAAAAATAAAACCTGGAACCAACCTCACCTCATTGTCTTAAATTCTACTGGAAGATAAGCCAGTAAAAACAATCCCCACAACTAGGTTACAACCTACATATTTTCTTGCATATGACATGCAACTTCCCCCAAAGTCAGCCCCCTAAAATGGGAGTGTGTAAAGTGAGGAAGCTTTTTTGAAATAGAAGCATTCTGCTTTGATTCTTGCTCCTCAGTGCAGCAGCTGTTGCATTACTATTCAAACAGCTGAGGGAGTCAATTGACAAGGGCTCATTGTCCTTCACTCCAAAAGCGTGAAGAATTTTCTTTCCTTTCTAACTGTCTTAATCAGTGGTGGGCAATTATTTTGGGCTGAGGGCCGCTTACTGAGTTTTGGCAAGCCATCAAGGGCTGCGTGACAGGCAGCCAGGGCAGATAAATATTAATTTTCTAAAAATTTTAGGGGCCCCGCAGGCTGGATAGAATGGCCTGGTGGGCAACATCCAGACCACAGGCCAGTTTGCCCACCCCTGGTCTTGATGCTCCACTAGTTGAGTATGCTGTCTGCTAGCTACTTCTGGTCTCTCTTTCTCCCCTCCTCTTTTCATCTTTAGATAAGTAGGAAAGAGAGGGTGAGTCAGCTGCAAATTATGCTGTCCCTCCTCTATGAAGCCACTACTTCGGGAGAAAAAAAAATCCTTCATTTTCCCTTTCAAAAGCAAGGTTTATACTCCAGGATGTTGCATACAAGAAAATTGGTATTTTTTTGAGTGGTTGGATATTATCTCCAACAGGAACTCATGCAATTTAGAGTCAGCATTTCATCATCTCCATAAATTTGAGGCCCCTGTATGCTGATTTTGTTTTCCTTTTTCATTTAACAATGGTTGAATGAAAGCCAACTTGCATATTTGCTAAATATTAACGTAGGGTGAAAAGCTATGGAACATACCTGTATTGTATATAAAAGTTTTAATCCATTGAAGTGTTGGAAAGCTCATTCCAGTGTTGTTTATGTCATTTAAGAATTGTTCTTCCACAATATATACATATTTTGGCCTTTACACTTGATCTGTTGTGACTAGTGATTTTGGGCGCCCAATTTTAAGGGATCTTGATTTTTCAGTGATTTGCTTCTTAAAAGTTGGGTCCCTTTAGAGCAGAGGTGTCCAACCTTTTTGAATGTGGGGCTGGATCATAAACTTTTTATCACCCAGTGGGCCAGCAGGCCATATTCAAAGACCGCACAGGAAGCGGTATCACATCACCCCTCCCCCCCCCCCCCCACGGGCTGCATGGCGGCCCGCGGGCCATATGTTGGGCAAACCTGCTTTAGAAGCATCTCAATCACTAGTCAATTTTTGAAAGAACCTTGGCCAAAAGGAATCAGGAAAGTGAAGTAAAAAAGTGATAATACTATGTAGGTCACCTCCCACTGCTGTACCAACTCCATCCTAGTTGCACTTGATGTCACCCCTCTCCTGCATGAATAAAGGATTTTTAAACTGGTGAAAATGTTGATCTGAGTATTTGCTCATGAGATTATATTGCCCTTGTGAAGAAGGGTTTGCCTCTTGCCTATTTATACTGTTGTTACTTTCTGGGACATAGACAATAAAGGGTTCTTTCCAAACCTATGGACGTTCTAACAATTTTTTTACATAGACAGATGAAAGCAGGATCTTTTGGTATGCTTGGCTTTTAATGTGCTTATGTTTATACTCAGTACTGCTAACCTATGAGACTTTGGTCCAGAGGCCTGTGGCACACTTACCAGCCAAGAGTTTTTCCTTGAACTTTTCCCAGTGTTGTGTCAGCAGCATGAAAACAATTTACTTACTGCCAGAGGTAAACGTTATGGCCTGTAAGCCTCTAAACTCTGAAGTAAAAAGACAACAATGAGCCCTTTCCCCCATGCACAGGTTCTGTCCACTTGGCTGTGCCCCAACAAATGTTTTGGAGGCTTTAAGCACTAGTGCTGCGTGTACCTGATGTCATTTGCTTTATACTAAAACACAGTTCTCTCACTTAGCTTTGAAAGCTTTCAACCATGGCAGGGTAAGCATAACCCATGTTTATTATATTCTTTTACCACCAAAGTGATTTTTACATGACAATTAAATACTGCAATTAAGTCGAACTATTAGAGACTATAGCATTTAAATGGACTTGAAAAAAAGCTTACAAAAGATGCAGAATCCAAACCAGAGCTGTTTGGTAACTAGGATAAACACAGTTGAGTGATTTTTCACTAGTACATTTCTCTGCTTGAACAGTAGAAAACCACTGGTTCCACTTCCTTCCCTTCCATTCTATAAACCAGACACTGTTCATCTTGGCCAAAAGATAGCCTGAGATACTCCAAAAGCCTCCTCTCAAAAGGCCAGTAACCAAAATGTTTATCTGTTTTGAAGGTCAAACAACTGACTGAAAATACACACATGACAGCTTGCCCACAACGAATTTTTAATTCATTTATTACCTGTGCACAAGAGAAATAGCTACCAATAAAAACTCAAAAGATATACAGTATTTTTACATGGTGGTTAAAAGTAATCAGAATATCACATGACAATGAGTGAAAGTAATGTTTCCAATTACAAATCATAATACATGTTAGAATTTCAACATGGGATAGCCAAAAAGCCTCAGAAGCTTTTTCAGACGTCACGTAGTGTTTCTTCAATTTGCACAAAGATTAAGGTAATTTCCAATTAATCCTTGTGAATATTGAGGCAATGTTAATAACAATGCAGGTTTCTGTACAGTTAAGATGTATAGAGATAACCAGATCAGCAATTCTAGTATATTTTAAATGAACTTATCTAAGCACTTTTGCAGAGATGTTTACCAAAGATACTGAAAGATTCTACTCTAGAAACGTGTCTTATGACTTATTTGTTCTGTAGCTTTTTGGTTACTTATCGTTTCATTCTATCGCAATGTGTAAGTTCCTAGAAATGAGCCATTTTCAATGGTGTATATTGTGTTTATACTTTATACAAATAAAAGCAAAAATGGTAGGTAACTCGAGTGGTATAAATCTTACAGCATTTTGCTAGCAAAAAAATACATGCCGAAGTCACAATAAGCAGTATTGGAACCCACAAATTATAGCTTCATGTGTCTCCTTTTTAATTTTTATTCTACATAAATTACTACTGAAGGCTAATGTTTAAGTAGTAAAGAAACTGGACAGTTGTAGGTCAGACAGAACCTGTTTACCCCATTGTGAAAGCTGATATCCGTTTCAAAAAAATCACAATAAATGCAGAACGAAGAGAAATGTGATGCATGCAACAACTCTGAGTGAAAAGCATTGATTCCCACTGTTCGAAGAAAACTACTGCACTCCACCTTAAAATGCATCAGACTGCTTTTAGTTATAACAAGACAATCCCAAGAGTCAGAATGAAATAAAGCAAGTATTTTAAAGATTTAAGAGCTGTTATCAAAAATAAATTACATTTTTCAAGTTAAGGAAATGTTGCTATGATGGTTGGGAGCCCAGTAGCCTTTCAATAGCTGCATTGATATCTCCTCCGGTTGCTATTAGAGCTTGTAAATTTGCTTCGCGATTCAAAAAGCCCATTGCACTGAGCTGCTCCAGTTGTTGCTGAAATCGGACTTCTGGATTTTGTAACTGCTAAAAGAAAAAAAGAAGAAAATTTATTTTAAACTGTAAAGAAAAGGCTTAGTGTAAATGCTATGATATATGCAAAATGATAAGAATGCAGACATCATCTTGTATTTTGTTTTCGTTAGTTTCTGTAATTACTCTCTTCCTTACAAGTCCTCAAAACTACAGTGTTAAATAAGCAATTACAAAATTTAAAATGTGCAGACAGCTGACTTGTAACCTTTGGTGTAGATTATTACACATCACATGCTTATGAGATGAACTTATAGGAAGTGCTGCATGTCTGATTCAACATAACGGCGCAACATAAAAATGAACCCAACTTAGATTTTTTTCCTGGTAATAGTTCCTTCAAAGTGTACAATGGGTCACTTTGGTCAGGTGAAATTAAATATTGAATCCTACAATGCTGTTCATTGGATTTTAGATACCCTTACAGATGGCAACAGGCAATAGGGTAAATGCAATCAGGTTATTTTACTGGTATCAGTCACCACTGTTTCTAAACCTTGATCAAGGTTTGGAAGAGTTCTAGCCATTTTATAAAACGTCTAATGAGAAACTCAACAGCTGTAACTTTTAGGCACTGATCCAGTTCTGACACAATACAAACAACAGAACTCCAATCACAATGTTGTATGACCAAGCCCTAACAGACAAACTTCTGCTGGTTTGGAACAATCTTTGAAATCATTTTAATTATGCCTTACAATTTAAACCTGCAAATCCAAGGAAAATGGCATGTACTGTTTTTGTAAGCAGTTGTCATTCCAATTGTTTATAGAAGAGCAAACACAGAACTCTGTGCTTGGCAGCTAAGCGGAAGGGAGAAACTGATTTTTAAATATTTTGTTTTAGAAACTGAAGAACAGCAGAAAGACAGGTATTTCAGTTAGTAACCAACCCACAAAGAAACAAAACCTTCTCAGCATCTTGCAGGCTGCCATTCCATCAGTTACAACCCCAGATATTCCAGCGTAGATGACAGAACCGTTCATAAATTAAGTAGAGGAAAGACTCAAATGGATACTGTTTAAAAAGATATGCTCCTTTTCAATGCTTACACCTACTCCTTTGAATGTGCATTACTATGTTGCTGAAAACATCCCATGTTTCAAAACAAACTATAGCCACTGCACAAATGTATAGAGCCCTAACAAAGTAAGGAACTCGTAGCTAGTCAGATAAAATTTGCTCTTTTACTTGGAACTTTTCATACTTTGTCAAAGAGTTTTACCAGCTTGATACCCCTCCACCACAGAATTTAAATAATAGCATTTTTTTAAAGGGATACGAAAATGTTAATTAATTCAGACCTAGATGGGGTCAAAAATGAAAACATTAGTTCCACACCACTGATTTGACAGAGAGAGAGGTAATTACCCAGAGGGAAAAAAATGTTCAAATTTAAAGTTTTATCAGCATTTATTTCCAGCTCTTGGGAAAGTAACAGTTTGAGTCTTACCCTGACAGGCATGTATTCAAAGGGTAGCAGCATATTTTTCAAATATTCTTACTGCCTTTTGGCCTACATTTATAATTTAAATATTGAAAAGGATTTAGCCATGTGCTAGTTTACCTGAGCATTTGCACCAGCAAGTGCCTGCAACATCTGCTGAACAAATTGTTGGTGACCAGGCTCAGCAACTCCTGAAGCTGGACTTGTATTTTCACTGGGAACAGAGCTGGATACACTTGTCCCTGTAGGCCCTCCAGTGCTTCCTAATCCACCTAAACCAGGAGTAAACCTGCAGAGATGAGGAACAGAAAAATGCTGAGACACTTTTACATTAAAAATTATTAAATTTTATTACACATTCCAACCAGCTCCTCAGTTCTCACATGGAAAACTCTACTGATGATAAGTTAACATACGAGAATTTGTACAACTGGCTAGCCTCCTAAAGAAGCAAGACAGGACACTGACAAATTAACAGATTTAATATGCAAAAAGTATAAAGTAGTGCCTGAATGTGTCTCATCAACTGTTACCCTGGTATAAGTCCTGGTGCTTCTGTTGCCAATGTTTGTAAGCCTTGCTGAATTTGTAACAAAGCTTGCATTGCTCTAGGATTTGACATTGCTGATAACGTGTCAGGATTCTGCATCTAAAAACAGGAGAGAAAAATGTCACAACAGAAACATATGCAGGGATATGCCAGGCATTTTGTAGGACCCCCACCCTTGATAGTGCTCATCTTTGTATTTGAATATCCCTACGTAAACCCTATGAAATATTTCTGTCTCTTTGTCAAGCTACTAAGACAACTCTTCTGGCTTGCCAAGGCTCATCAAGTGCAGTTTACTACTCTAGAAATAGTATTGTTTAACTTCTCCCAGCAAAGCTTATCATCTAACATACCTGATTTTCAAGAGTCCCAGGGCTCTAAGATACCAGTATAAATTTTGGAATTAGTCTCCCATATGGTGAGACTTGTGGCATGTGGAACCTGGCCAGAAGTACACAGACATACAACTAACATATGCATCTCTCTCTAGTTTCATACTATTTCTGGCCGTGCTCAAAAAACCCTTCTATTAAAGTTGACATTTAAAAAGTATGGCTATTTCCATCTATAGGTTTTCCTCGCTTTATGCTGTACATGCGTTCTTGGAAAACTGCGCATAACTTGAATTCACATAAAGGGAACCTGCTTTACAATGCAACAAATAGGGATATGTTCCAAGATTTCGACTGTACTGACCCCCAGACCCATTTCTACCACTTTTACAAGACAACTGGTTGGTAGCCACCAACAGCAGACAGTACACACAAGCACAGGTGGTGATTAATGTTACCATAATGGGGATGGTGACTACAGAAACACGCGTCTCAGACAATGAGCAAGGAGCACAGATCCACACAGGGGCTATATTTTGGTGCGTATCACTCCCACAAAGCAGCTGACTGCGGGCTTCCACCACACTGATTGCATAAGAGTGAATTTACCTCGCATATAACGAATTTTTGGTATAAGAAGGCTTATTGCAAAAGAGCAAATTCGCATATACAGAACCTGCATAAAGCAAGGGAAACCTGTACGCTACCACTGCAGACTGCTCTACAATACTCCACAGAGTCTATGAAGTTCCCCTTTCTGGCCAAGATCTTACCCTACTCAAACTTCAACTGCTGAAGCTACAGAAGTACAACTGAATATAAAGCAAACCCTTAGGCCAGGAACTCTTGAAACACTGTGATATTTCAAATGTGAAACCAAAATTCAACCCTCGGCCCATCTCTGCTTAGAACTAGCAAATAAAAGAGAAAAATTTCACACTGCCTTTTGAACTACAAGACCATCTATGAAAGATTCAGATGAACTAGAGATATGTAATCAAAAAACATATATTCTTCACCATTTGGTGTGCATATTTCAGAACACCAAGCTGGCCTAGATGTTTATTAATTTGTTCTCATTAATTCTGTAGTCCCAAGCATAGCACAGAAATTGTACTGATGGTGGAAGTGGATGAAGAGATGAGAGGCCAATAGGGCAATCTTCATGAAAAACTCAAAGTATCCTTTCCGCACGCTTTTGGGGAACAAAGAGCAAAACTGAAGTCTCATTTTGGGTGGGGAAGGGGAAGAGAAGAAGGGAAGGTGACTTCTAGTTTTGTATTTACATTTTTGCAAAGTACCACAAAAGCAGTAAAACTGCATTCTGCGAGAGATGCCCACTGGAAACAAGTAATTCACTCCAGACAGAGAAGCATAAACAAATCAAAGTGGCTGCACTATATACAGAGGGTGCACTTACTAGCAGACAAGTATAACTTTGGGACAGAAGGGGACAGGGGCAATGAGTCAACCACTTATTAATGGGCGAGAGGTAGAATGGCAGATCAGGCTTTCATGCTTTCAGCCAGATGAGAAAAAAGACTGTTCATAATTCAACCAACATTCTGCAGCAATTTAACTAACAGCTAGTTTCTCATCTCACTCACTTGCTGAAGGAAAGTTGGAAGCTGTTGTCTCATTTGTTCTTGAAGCTGAGGGTTTCCAGCAAATAAAGGATTGTTCAGCATCATCTAAGAGACAAATGGACAATTTTAACAGAAAATACTCAATATGGTAAAGAGATCTCCCCCAGAAAGAGCTGACTGACTGCATTTTAGGTATTAGATGCAAGTCCCAGTTAACAAGTTTGATACAATTGGAGTCTTCAAAAAAATCTTTAACAAACCCTTCTGTTGCAATCATTTGCAAAAACTGTTTTTTCATAAACATTCAAACAGCTAATACCGGTCACTAGAATTTAAAGTTCATTTTCCTAATGAACTGCCAGGTCTCTGCAGAGAAAATGTCCCCATCCCGAGGAGAAAAGTCTCTTTTGTTCATCTTCAATCTCTGAATTACAGAGCTAGAAGACTGTGCCTTTAAAAACAAATCAGAATGTGCAAGCAGCCAGGGAAGCTGGCCAATTGATCTCTTTAACACACAGGAGAAAACAGTTTTTATTTTACTCTATGTTAAAGCCATCCAGCCTGTGCTGACTCTTTATATGCCAGATTCAGTGTGGGTGCTGCCTTAAGTACTATTATTATTATGCTTCAGATATATAACCCACTCTATCCAGAGAGACTTAAAGTAAGTGACAAACAATAGTAGGTTCCTCAATTGACACTCCAAAACTAGAAAACCCCACCCTACCCCTTAAGAACAAGCCCTTTGGATAATCCCAACCTCCATTCACATTTACATAAATGGGTTGTATTGCTATATTACCTTTATCCTCACCTTAATCCTAAAACAATTACTGTATCAGGGAAAAATACCAGAAGGTCACAGCTGAAAAATGAAAATACAAATAGCACAACCCCACTGTTTCTCTTAGAAACCCTCCTCCCCCACAACCCAATTAGTTTGTGGCCAAGCCTTTTCCTTTAGTTCTTGTGCTAGGTCACAAGTTTATGGTCACTAACTTTCAGGAGGTTGCCTTACAAAAGATGTCCAGTTTGGAACTTGAAAGGACTCTGGGTCAATGTTAACAGTACTTAGGCAACTACTCCAACAGTAGTTCATCATCTAATTATCTTCAGAAAATGGCTAGTCAGTGCTCAACCACAAATACAATTATGCTGTTGGTGGGGAAAAAAAAGCTGCTACATGAATCCAACCCCTTTCTTTTCATTCAAAAAATTCACAAATTGAATTTAATATATAGATGCATTTACCTGTGCAGCAAGATCAGGGTTCTGGCTTAGTGACTGCATCATGCTCCTCATATAGGGTGCAGACAGCATGTTCTGCATTAGCTGCGGGTTTTCTGTAATCTGTTGCAATAAGCTCTGCATCCCTGGTGTGTTGAACATGCCAGCTTTAAAAAGTAAAATGCCAGTTTAGCAATTCATCAATATGAACATGAGCATAAATGAAAAATGCGCATCACTAAGTACAATGATGAGCATACAGCATATTTCCATAATTTTACATACAAATCAGACTGCCACTAAAGGAGACCAGCCACAACTCCCCACAAAATTGTTCTATTTATAACCAATACAAAATTGAGAGACGTGTATTTTAAGGCGTTCTAAGTAACTAACATTTCACTGAAAAGGGCACAACCTAGGAGGCTACGTACGTTTCAAAATATAAACCCTGTTTTAATAGTGGTAGAATGTGCCAGGAAATAAACGCACTTCTCAAAATTATGTGCTGATTATCCCATCCCAAATTATACCTAAACCCTGAAAACGTGTTTAGTCTTATCCTTCTATTGCTATGTAGATCTCCTGCACAATTCTGGAGATAGGCCTTCAAATGTTAACTAATGCATCTCAAGTTACGGGGCTGTATTGGAAAGGAACAAGTATTTTAACTAGAAAGTCAGAGTCAATTACACATAAAAGGAAGAAATCAGAATCCTTTCTGGGTAACTTGAATACCAGAACTGACATCTAATTGCAAACAGCTTGCATATAAGCTCAGCAAAACAGTTAACTTCTCAAGTCATGCAAGAACATGCTCCAAAAAAATCAAGAGAAATCCTCCCTCAATCTGGTGGTGGACGGATGGTGGAGGATTTAAATCAGTCTGGTACTTGATTTAATTTGCCACCTCCAGAAAATGAGGAGCAGATTGTACTGACCTGTAAGGTGTGGCTTAAATGAGACAGCATGAGAAAGCAGCTGTGCAAGAGGCAACGACTGAATCCAGCTCTGCAGGTCAACATTCACCTGGCATAACCAAAGTATTCCTTAACCTGAATTTTCTTCACACCTTCCAACTTCTGCACCAGATAAACTAGGGATCCTAAAGTCTCCATTACTAAACATTAAATAAGGCACTTTACCAGCAGGATCCACAGCTACTCGACAACAGAGTTATGTTGTAATTAAGTAGTCCGGGGTTCAAACCTGGATTCTGGAAAGTGGCTACAGATCATTCTGTGCCCGTCTGCCTCTGCTCCTACATTTCCTTTATCGTCATTTTCCAGCATACAACACCCTAGCACACCCTCTCCTTTTCAGTGAAGCAGGTGAGGCTGTTCCTTCTTTGGTAATGGACAGGGAACATCAGGGAGAGCACAAGAGTCTCCCTACTTTTTTTCTAGTCTGACTGCTTAGGTAAGCCATTTACAAGGAATGTCCTTGCAACTGTGGGATGGATCATGAACAGTATGCTTACTGGAGGTGGTAAATGCTCAGTCTAATTAACGTGTGGGAGCCATGGAGGCAAGAGCATGCTCAGTGCAAATGGCCTCTTTACAGTATACTGCTATTGACCACAAACATTTCTATTAAGCATGTCTTAAATGCTAATTTTCAGTATCTCATCACTTAGCCAATTTCAACCAGATTTTCAGGGACAGCTAATGGTTTGTTTTGGGGGGGGGGGGTTTGTTGTAGATACTTACATGATCAACAGGCAGCTTGGAAGCAGAGACAATGACAAATGATACTGATCACTACTGTCTTGTTGCCTTGGACAGACCCTCCCAGCTATATCCCCTCTACTTTTCTTGTCTTTGGATTTAAGACTGTACGCTCTTACTGGGAAAGGATAGTTTGTGTGGTCTCTACCACTATGATGTCCTGGTTCATGACTGAGGCTCTAAGGGTGTTTACAGACATGCTCAGGGGAGTAGGGGGGAAGGGAGGGAGTGCTTTAAATTAAGAAAGGCTCAGAGCCGCTCTAATTAAAAGTGCCTGAAGCATCACATGCATCACCAAGCGTCCCTGTGTTGAAAAATGGTAGCAGGGGCACTTTAACTAAAGCTCACTGAACGAGCTTCAGTTAAAGCACCCCCACTGCCACTTTACAGTGTGGGGATACTTATACACATGACGGTCCTGGCACAGTAATTACAGCATGTTGGAGCAGCCTCCCTGCACACTCTGAGGCACTCCTGTAATACAAAAAATGGTTACACTGCTTCTGACATTTGGAGTATTACAGTTATAATTTTTGGTATCCATTTTTAAAAATAAATTCTTGTTTCATTTAGTACATTACAAAACCTATTTTCTTTCACACTGAAATCTATACTTGTTTTCATGTAAGACACTGAGAAAGTGTACTTAATACAGCTACTGGGTGAGATGGTTTATCAGCCTTTTACTCTTTTAGTGCTTAGTGGGCAAAAAGGTTCTCTGTCTAGATATTTCCTATTTTTATTATTACTTTTAGAAGTTTTATGGCCACTTCTGGTATTCTTGAGAAAAGTTTGAGTTTGTTATGCTATACAGGAATCAGGCACTAGTCAAGAACACTATGAAATTAAACATTAGTAAATACTTATTCCAATACAAGTGCCTTATTTCTGCGCACACGCAAAAAACAGAATTTGGTCAAAAAAGAACGTACCTCCTAATCCAGGTCCCAAATTCGGTATGGTTGAGCTCTGTCCTGTACTGCCAGCGGTACTACTTCCAACATTACTACTGCCACCACTTTCACCCCTGGTACTGGTGCTGGTTGTAGAACTCTGGGAACTAGATGGAGGAGCCCAAGGATTTGGGAGAGGGTCTCTATTTTCTGTGCGAGATGGTTGGCTTTCCCCACCTGAAGATGCATTGCTTACTAAAGAAGCAAATGGGTTACCTCCAAACTACAAAGGGGTGGGAAAAAAAAAGAGCCATCTATTTTACCACTGCTAGAAATTATAAGATTTGTGATGCATGCAAAATTCTACTGGGAGACTGACTACGCTCCAATAATTACACTCACCATCCCTACAAACATTTCATGGTACAAATATTTTGAAGA